CGAGTACGAGTTACTGACATGAAGTTACCATAATAAACATTTACAGATATGTATGGCACCATTCATGTAAAACATATTTATTTTTTCCAAGCTTACAACAGAAGATAGCACATAGACGGTGGTTCTCAGTGGCCGGGGTTGCCATGGAAACTTAGTGGGGAAAAATATGGGTGGGACTGCAGGGAAAGTGGGCAGTGAGAAATGGATGCTAATATTGCTTCATATCATGTTGCGGTTGAAGGTTTGAATCTCACCAGGAGTTAGAATGATTTCTGGAGCAGGGAGGGGAACATGTTCAGTTAGACACACAAACAAGTTCAGCACAAAGACCCTAATTTGAGTATATTCTGCCACTGCTTACTTTTTATGAGTCTGAGGATGCACCTTTTTTCAGATAATCAGAAGCGTATTTACCATGCTTTATATCAGCAGTATCAGACACATGATGAAAAGCTAAATACAACTTCAGAAATGTTCTGATTTTACTTTGAAATATTTTGGACATGACACACAAGTAAGTCCAGTAAAGCTGGCCTGCCACTCTATGCTTTATCAAAAAACACTGAAAAGGCCATTTAAGGTTTGTTTTTCTTATTTATTCCCCACATGCTACAGAGGGTTATTCGGTACGTTAGAGTTAAAAAGAAAAAAAAATCCTCATGGACACCAATGCTGTCAGCATAAACAAGTCTATTTTCCTTGCTTAACCGTGATTTTATTCAGCCTGAGTGTGTCATGTTTCCTATGCTCACAGAGGCAGAAGAGCATCACAGTGGGGGATTCAGGGGTTGGTTACAAAAACACCAGCTTTTGCAGCTACACACAGCAACGGCCATGTGGTGTATTTGTATAAGCATGTTTTTGTAGGGACATTAAAGAATATCCTGTGACCACCTAGAAGTAGTACAACAGCAAACAAAGAAAAGATAAATAAATGTTGAATTCCCCTAAATAAATATTACATCATTTATAGGTGGGACACCTTATGGTACATTGATGAATTCACAGCCCTCGGCCATCAAAGATGATTAAGAGAGCATGTGTGAGGCTTTTATGTAGTATTTGTCTCAGATTTGCCTTGTGTCCTGAGCGGTAGCTGCAGGTTTGCTATCTCCCTGCATCATTTTTTGGGGTTTATTGAAACTAAGGTGAGAAAGTAATTTTAATAGATCAACATTAGCATCTAATATTTCTTCTATGCTGTCAACTAGAGCAGATGGTTGCAAAGAATAGGTCACAAGGGTACTTAGTGGTGCAAGAAGGAGCAGCCAATTAGGCTGACCTCTTCAATCTAGGGCAACAAGTTGTACGTCCAGAAATCCTCCAAAAATTGCAAATACATACTGATGAAACTGACTTCATTAACAGCAATCAAAACTGAATTTTCATTTAAAAAGGGATCAGAACTCTGTGCCAAGATAAACTATATAAACAGGTTTCATATGGTGAACGTAGCACATTATCTATCAGATATTGATGGCATAATTGAAACTACATTGAAACAGCGGTCGCACTCATACCCACCAGCCAGTAGAGCAACTTGCTCTCCAGCTGTCTGTGCACGATAATATAAAAGGCAAGTTCAAAAAGAAAAGACTTGCTTTTCTCGACTTTGAACCATCAGTTAATGGGTCACCAGTCCTGCCCAGCACAGAGATGATTTCTTTAAAATGTTCTGAGAATACTATTCCATACTGGCCAAGCTCCTTACCAAAACACATCAAACATATAATTTGATTCACTACTGAGATTCAGGGGAGATAAAAACATATCTCTCTATCTAAAATAAGAAGAAACAATTTCAAATTGATGCAAAGATATAAAGACTTCACTATTGATGATTTAGTCCATATGGAGCAGAATTTTTCAAGTACATTTGATTATCATAGCGCACATTAAGTATGTGTAAAATCTGTTTCATCCACATCTGGTGTGCACTTATATCTTACACATGAAGACATTTTAATTTGAGCTTAATCCCATACACAATCTTGTATTATATTTAGAAAGCTTCCCCATTTTGATTATTTGAAACAAACAAAAATATGCTAATATTTAATATTCAACGTATTCAATTTAATATGTCATGTGGCATATTACAAAGACTTTTTTGCATTTTGACTTTGCATTTTTTCAAATGCAGGAAAAAAAATGAACTACGCAATCTGAGGAGTGCAGTTCAAAGGGTATGGAATTTTCATTAAAGAAAAATTAAACCCGAAATAAAAGAACAAGCCACGGCTGCTCTAACTTATCTAATGCTTTCTTGCATTATATAATCTCCAGCAGGGACTCTGTTTATCCCTCCACCTGGGCTTGTCAGCTGAAGGAATTAGGATGCCTCTGTGGTGACCAGCAGCCAGCTGAAAGCATTTGAAGAAGGATCACATGCATCACTTGATCAAGACAGCTCAGGGAAATTTGGCTGCCAGTCCCTTTAACTCTGAAAAATGACATTTCAGTGTTCTGCCCACCACCTGGACATTTATGTCTGCAAACTTCACACTAAGACTGAGACCAACACCTGCCAATTTAAGAATGAGGCTGACTATCTTGGATATTTTTATCAAATGGATGTCGGTTGGTATGGCTGCATTGTCGTAGAATATGATTAACACATCCACCAAAGCATCCCTATGACTGATGGTCCTGTTACATTTGAGGGAAATCCCGCCGCTGCATCACACCCTGTCTGACCCTCTGACATCAAGTACCGTTTGTTGATTTCTTCATAGTTTAAATAGTTTCTTGACGTTTTGTACCATTTAGATTTGTTCTTCAAATCTTCCTAAATGAATGACCGAGTAAGTCTCTTCAATGAGACTCTGTTGTGATATTTCGGGACGAGCTCTGCGAACAAAGGAACCTGTTTGATGATTAATTGGGCTGTGTCATTTTTGCTTGGGACGGCAACAGTAGCTATATACCATACTATTTCCAGTTAAGCAAGACACAACTTTGCATGTTATTCGTGAACAAATGCCAGCGCAAAGCCAATCTAACTGTTGTTTAAAATATCCAAGCTTTTCGAAATACTTTTTTTTGTCTGAGATGACATCTGAGATTTAGTAAGAATCAAGAAAAATGTGGGAAAATATGGTTCCCAACAGGCTATTACAATAAATGATTTGTTTTCAGTCGATTGGAGGTGGAAGCGCTCAGCCTGAAGAGGCAGCTGAAAATAGAATAGAGAGATAGAACAGAAAGAATGGTAAAGATCAAACATATTTTTTAGATCTACCTTCCTAGATGGATCTGCAGGTCCTCTCAGCAGAAGCCGCGCGTCAGACTACTCACAGACAGAGCTTCATGAGACCAGTGGAGTCCAGATGTTGCTCACTTTGGGCATGTTTGCCGTGCAGCTGTTTGGATCTGTCCTTGGTTCTGAAGTATTGTTTTCATTGGCGAGTCCTGCAAACTCCTCTCGGTGCTCTCCAACGTGTGCCAATCCCAAACAGCGCACGCCGTCCACGATATGTCCAGAAGCACGCTGGGATGGAGAGATTCTACCTGCCGCTGGTTGGATCTGAACCAAACTGAGAGCAGCCTGCGAACGCGTCACGTTTCGTGCAAAGGTTCTAGTCGCGAGGGGGTGGATAAGTGAATTAAATCAACTTCTAAACAAGCATAAATGTTGAGAAAATGTTACTGTGGCACCGTCGCGTCACAAACGTGCCCCCTCTCTCTGCTCCTCCACAGCTTTAATGAGTGCGAGGCGATGCGCCGCTTCCTTTAGGAGACCTGACAGATCCCAGATAGGAGCAACTCAAGAATAACATCTCATTTACAAAGGGGAAAACATACGCTGTCAAATGTCACAGAAGCACGAGAAAAAGGACAAAAACATCGTCTAAGGTGCATTAAACATCACCTTCATATCCTACTTCAAACTTCTCAGGCGTCTTTTTTGATGTGAGGTGTGAGATGCATTCTCGCAGAAGCAGAGCTTACACGTTATTTCTCACGATGAATACACACGGGGTGAGAAAAGAGTGATGTATATAACCAGCTAAATTTAGACTGATGAGAAAAGGACATCAACTTTTTGAAACTCACACACACACACAGACACACAGACACGCACACCCCACTGAAGGCTGCCCAGTTCCTCATTCACCTCCATCTCATTAAAACTGAATAATACTTCAGCTGAGTGGAACAGCACACAAACTCAAGAGGCAGCACACATTGAAAAAGTGTTCTCACACACAAACACACACTCAAAACCTTGAACAAAAAGTATACTTGTGAAATACACGATTGTACGCAAAGACTCGGTTGGTCCACATGAAAATCTGTTCTTTTCATTCAACATAAACATGACACTAATGAATTTGCTCTTGACACACCTCACTGATTTACTGAAATTGAGTCAGTTTTGTCAGCTGTTCCAATTTTAAGCATCTAACTGTAATTAGGGCTGACTAAACAAACATTTCTGAGGCAAACGTCTTCAGTCACCTACAAACTGAGCACTTTTCCCTCATCCAAAATATTACATCAGCAACATTCCCTCTGCGTAATTACTTGGAAAAAAAGATCTGCGGCACCAGTTTTGTACCTAATTTGTCATCCTGCACACCCAGTTACAGATACATTTGGAAATACATAAAAGTGTATTCTTCATTCAATCAACTTCATTGCAGTTTCATTCTTTCTGTCACCCACACACACAAAACACATCCCTCCGTTTTCAAATGCTTCGTGGAAAAAGGAGGGACCTTTCCTGAGCACAGTGGCAATTAAAATGAGGGGAAGGCGCTACTCCTTGCATAATTTCCTCAGCAAACAGAAGGGGAGCAATTTTCTCCTGAAATAGAGATGTAGTTTGCATTGTGACACACAGAGTTTAGATGGGAAGATGCCAATTAATGTCACACGAAATTACAGAGGACAAGAGTAAAGCGTGCTAAGCCAGTGGTCAGTGCACGTTGATGTCAACGGTACCGTCTTTCAACGTTGATGGGGACTAAACAATCAGTCCAAAATCTACAATTAATTCTATCCATTGGGGGTCTGTAAAAAGAAAAGAAAATAAAAACATCTTATGAGCCTATATTGTCAGACCAAGCACGTGAAATTGTTCAGGCCAGATTTAGGAGGAGCAGCTGCAGCCAGGCCAGTGATGGGGATAGAGGAGGTTTCAATTTCCATATTCAAATATTTATGCATAATGAAGAGGCAAAGATTTGGAGTTACACCCAATCTATTCTGGGGGATTACGATGTCATTTTCAAGTTTTAAAAAAAAATCTTAATATGCATATCCTTAGTATTTAACTGAAATAATGGACCCAAGAACGGTTAGAATATTAAGAAGACATTTATTAGAATAACTGGAAAGTATTATAAACGCAGCATTCTCGAGGCGTGTTGGTTGTGGCAGAGACGGTAGAAGGGGAGTGGGGGGACGGGGTTTCTGGACGGCAGCAAGGAGAATGAATGTTGGTACTGGTGAACTGCAAGATGAACGGGAACTTTCATTTACTTTGGCTTTGGCAGAGTCAGTGTTTACGTACTGGTGCTAAACAACAATCTGGCAATGATGGGAGAGGAGGCCAAGGCTGATACACTTCTGTCTCGATTGAAGGGAATAGATTGCAAGTATGAAGGAAGATCACCAGGGACACAAACACCACAATCACCGTCCATACAGGGAGGAACAGACACAGAGCCACAGATGGCCACAAAAACAGGGACTCTTTGAAACATTCATCCATATGATTTCTCATTGTCATCCATCCAGCTTCCGATTTGAGGTACTAAAAAGATCATTCTGTTTTAATGTAAGCTGGTTAAGTTTCCGTTGATTATGACTATTCCTGGTTCAGTTATTAATACTGAGCACCCTCTAGGCAAAAAGTAGGTGAAAAAGCTTGTCTGTTAAATGTAAACAACACATCAGTTTAGTGCCCCCCCCATTCAAATTTATACACAATTTGAATGTATGAAATAAATTATTCTTCGCTCCAAACATATTTCTTTAGTGAGATAGTTTAAAATCTTTATCCCCCTTTTTTATTGATCTCCACATTGCATAATTGTAGATATCAGCACATTAAAGTGCTGAAGTTACTAACATATGTTACTAATTTAACCAATAGTGAAGTAGATGCACTCCCTCTGAAGAGGTTTTGAAATTACAAAGAGGAAAGTTACTTCAGCCCTCACTGTTTATAGCTCATCAATCTAATTTAAATCCTACCTCTGGGAACTTAACCACATATTAAGAGTCATCAGCATTTAGATTGAAAATGTGAACACATCCTATACATCATCTTATTTGCAAAGCATTTGTTAGGTGAAAGCGCAGCATTTATCCAATTAAGTATCTGAGGCAACTGGACAGGGTAAACCGATGACAAAACAATGCTGTGCAAGGCACAGTAGTTCTGTGTGTCTGTGCTTCCAAGCTTTAAGATATAGGCACTAACTTATAGGTTGCTTGTCAATATGAGGAGCTTAGATTTTTATTGGGACTACGCTTTTCTTTTCTAAAGTTACACCAGTAGATGAAAATCTGTCATAGGGAAATAAATCACCATGTAAGAACGTGTGGTAGCCGTAGCAATTAGGCCTACATGTGCTCTTTTTATTTGACTTTTCCCGTTTCCCTCCGGGTAATATATAGCATTTTGTGCATGTGATTGGCATACAGAACATCAAAGGGAATTATTTCCTCGCACTGAAGATGCTGCTTCTGAACCCGTTTGTAGGCAATGGAAAGCCATTTTAACATTTAATAACTTGTCTGGAGATGCATCCCAGATAACTGCAATTCTATTCTTCCTGATCAAACTGAATACTGACGATAGGCACAGTGATCCTTTCACACAGTTAAAAATGTCCTTCATCCAATTGGCATCAGAGGTTTCTTGGATTTCACGTGGACTCCACTGGAATGCTCAGACTCTTCTTCTTGCAGAAGCTTGGATGATAATACATCTGCACCATAATGATGCATATCTTCCAGTCTTTTGTGGAGTATGCTCTCTGCTTTGCGGCCATCTGTCACGGCATCAACATAGGACTGCATAGCAACATAATTGAGCCTAATGGCCAGTTATGCACATAGTGTTGAAACCACCTTGTTCATTAAGAGGTTTCTTCAGCTTTACTGAATAAAAAACAGTACAGGAGGTTATTCCTGCCAGAGGCAATAGCCATAGGCAACAACTGCTTATTATGAATAATCAATTAATGACATTATAAAAAAGATAAATATTACAACATCAGAACATGAACATTACTTCACTTCATTTGCATGAAATGTACTATCTCCATTATTTTGAAAATCCCACAATATATTTAGACAGAAATTACTACTCACACTATGACTAAGGTTGTGGATATCACTGGACATGGTTCAGCAGGTGGTCTTTAAGGTTATGTTCACAGGTTATCAGAGAGGAAAAAAAGAAAAAAAAAACTCTGCAAAACAGCAGAACCCTTGAAGAACTAAAATAGCACAATTCAATAGCAAAATGAACTAAATAACTGGGATTAGTTGTATAAAGAGAATGTGAGGCAGGGAATCTAAACATCTAAAATCTTTACGCAGTAGCACCCAGCTATCAAGGTTGAGATACACTGGTCTAAATATTTCAATGTGGCACATGAATTAAGACAAAAGGGCCACTTTCTATTTCAGAGATTTTTGCCGAAGAAGCTAACAATGTAATACATGTTTTTTTGGGAGGAACAGAAAAAAAACTACATCTATTTACATGGCCTTTATCTCAGTGCATTCTTTAACAGGTGCAACAACAGTATAACATGTGGGCTGAAGCAAAAACCCTGAACTGAACCTGAATCAGCTGTGTGGGGGCATAAAACACACTAAAAAAAGCTATACTAAGTGGTTGAAAAAGATGAAAGTGTGGGAACATGCTCATTCTCCTGCAACATCATGGTAACAAGGAGAGAAATATGCCTGCCAGAAGGTGTTTTCCAGATGTGCTCTTCAAGCTGTCATGCAGATGCACAGGAAACAGTCAACCGAGGATAAGCAAATCTGTGGAAGACTTGCAGCAACAAAGTGTCATGTATGTGTGTAAATGCCATGACTGAGGGTCTGGCCAAAAAAGGAAAGAAAGAAGGCGCTTTTATTGACTAATTAAAGCATGGTGGGGGTCCTCTTCTTCTTTGGGAGCATCATATGAAGAGACAAAGCTTCTACATTTTGGTGAGTCTGTACCTGAAGTTGCTTTTATTTTAAGTGTTACATGTAACTGTTACCCAGCAGAGGCTTTCTTGGTTAAGTTTAGGCACCAACATTGCGTTGCTTTAGATAAAAAAAAAGCATAATGGCTCTGCCGTAGAATAAGTCGTCTTTATTACACTGGGTAATTCATTGTTCATGTTCCATCCATCCATCCATCCATCCATCCATTATCAATACCGCTTATTCCCTCATGGGGTCGCGGGGGGAACTGGAGCCTATCCCAGTGGTCAACGGGCGAGAGGCAGGGTACACCCTGGACGGTCCGCCAGTCCATCGCAGGGCAACACATAGGACATACAAGGACAAACAACCACTCACACTCACATTCACTCCTAAGGGCAATTTCCCCAATCTCCAATCAGCCTAACATGCAGGTTTTTGGACTGTGGGAGGAAGCCGGAGAACCCGGAGAGAACCCACGCAGACACAGGGAGAACTCATTGTTCATGTTCAGAATATATTTTTCCCCAAACTGAAATGTTACCAAATTTATTAGGAAGCTGAATGAGTTAAAA